CGTGCTGGTATTCTTTCTTCTAACCATATGTGCGTTATTAGCTGGTGTATTTGGCGATGTAGTGCGTCTCCCCCATATTTCAGAGGTTCTGCTGGTATCTCGACCGTACCCGGCGCTTTGTGATTTTTCAGCTTATTTAGGGCCTTTTGGGTTTCTTCAAAGGAGGGATTTTTGACGGTCATGTCCGCTGTGATATAGATCTCTTCTTCGTGCTGTTCTTCCTGTATGATGTTTAGAAGGTCCCTAAAATACTTTTTCCATTCTTCAGTTACTTCTTTACCGTCGATTATCATACGGCCTTGATTGTCTCTCAGTGTACGGATGGAATTGGTTCTATGTCCTCTTTTCTCAGAGGAAATTGCTTTATAAATTGCCGTCTGCGAATATGTTTGTCAATAATTTGAAAACCTAAGTCTTGAAAAAACTTTCGTCTAGGAATGCATGTGTCTGTATTCTATTTGTATATAATGTAGGAATTTATCCCAGCTACATTTAAACAACTGTAAAAAATGACCATTGGCCAGCGACGGGTTGTTCTAGCGCAATTGTATGCCGCCCAGATCTTGTCCACGACATCCACGTCTACTTTAGTCTTATTATAATCTATGATTATTTCTGGTTTACCTGTTGCATTTGATAACAATAAAACATTTCTACCTTTTCGGGGTACATACGATACAAGGGTACACTTCTCTTGAAATGCGAACATACCAGTTTTTTCTGGCCTTTGTCGTCTTAGCACTAGAGGAATTTGAGGTTTATTCTTTCGTAATGCTCCTATAACAGTTAGACGATGTTCACGTTGAGGTAATCGCGCGAGCTGAACGCTTGTGAAAAAAATATCCAAAGTAACGTTCCTTCCCGTTTCCCAAATCGGTTCACACAGACGAGGTACAAGTGACATATTTCACGTACCAACAAAATATTTTCCTGATGGCTGTCTACCGACATATACATTTATCTTGGATGTATAATACATCTTAGCGTCTGCAAAGCATATATTTTTATACCATAATGATTTGGTTTATTCGGTATGTAAACCCTGAATAAACATTTGCCGCGAAAGGCTTCTTGTTCAACTTTTTATCCATCGTAGTATATGCTGAAAGGTGGTAATGGTTTGGTAGATTAGAATTAAAAGCTTCAAAAATCTCACGTATCGTGGCCAACTTGTCGAATTCTTGCCTTGCCTTAAACGAGCGCCGAAATGCCCAGTCGACCAGTACTAATCGAGTAACGACGAGAAGTAGATCCACCAGGCTTGAGAATGGCAAGTGAGACCTTGCCGAAACGTCGCCAAAACAATGGTTTTCAAGAAAACCAGCATTTTACAACGCGGAGTCAAACCCGGAAAAATAATGACAGGATATATATATATATATATATATATATATATATATATATATATATATATATATATATATATATATATATATATATATATATATATATATATAAGGTGTAGTAACATCATAATGGCAGGTCAGAAGTTCACTATAGTGTATTTTTATGTATGAGAGAGTAATAAAACAATAAATTATGTATGCAAATCCCTAAACTGTTGATACGGGTGACTCAATGAAAAACAGATATTTGTCAACAAGTTTACAGAAGTATATAGGAAAACAATTTTAAATTGAGTATGACCACCAGGTATAAAGGTTGGAGCAGAATAGAATACAATACTTACTGAGGGTTACTAATCCCTAAATAAGGTTGCCAGTGTCGGAGTGATGGAGGTTAACAGGTACTAATGAATTTGCAAGAAATATAAGATGTTTATTTTATTGGTTATATATAACCAATAAAAGTTTAATAAGTACCTACCTATTTGCAAAATAAAGTTTAATTCTTTAGATAAAATAAAACGTTTTATTTTATCTGAAATGAGTGCATTCCACGAAGTAAGGGTTTCAACAATCAAACATTTAATTCTTTAATTCCAGGAATCTACGACAGTAATCGACTAGATAATTACCTTCTAAACTTATTCCACAGAAAATGTGATAGTGGGTTTTTCCATTTTGTAGGAAGGTCGTATTCAAAATTCTTAACAGTTCACTAAAAGTAGGTACTTCAGTTGCAAGGTGCAGTTAATTGTGTATACTAGTGTTATGGAAAATTTGGAAGTGCCGTGTAAACGCCGAAAAATTGGTCCTTTAACAGTTAATGAAAAAACATTAATATTTAATTGTTTTAAATCATTTACAGACAAACGTTTATGTGAAAGTGTTGATGAGACCGTTGAGTTAGTTACCAGTACACTTGGTGTTGGCAAATCTACGATTTACAGAGTTATTAAAGAAGAGAAATGTGGTAGTTTTCAAATGCCACGTAATGCTCCAGGGAAACCAAAATTTCAAATAGAATATCATTTTAAAGAAGGACTTCGAAGGAAAGTGCATGAATTCTTCTTTAGACAAGAATTTCCAACATTGGATAAAGTTCTTGTCTCAGTTCGAGATGATAAGAATTACCCAGAAATTAGTCGAAGTACGTTATGGAAACTTTTAAAAGAAATAGGCTTCCGCTGGAAAAAGAATCCCAGAAAGTCTATTTTATTAGAAAGAAGCAATATTGTCATATGGAGAAGACATTTTCTAAGAACCATAAAGGAAATGAGAAACCAAAAAAGAAAAATATTTTATCTTGATGAAACATGGATCAACGAGGGTCATACACCAAATAAATTTTGGCAGGATGAAACTGTTACAAGTCAAAGGCACGCTTTTGTAAATAACTTATCTACTGGTTTAAGCCCACCATCAGAAAAGGGACGCAGGCTGATAATAGTACACATTGGCAGTTCAGACGGTTTTGTTGAAGGTGGTTTATTAACTTTTGAATCAACTCGTACCGGTGACTACCATGAAGACATGAACGCTGATGTCTTTCAAGAATGGTTCGAACAAATGATAGATCTTCTTCCTAAGAACTGTGTAATAGTAATGGATAATGCAAGTTATCACTCCAGACTTATAGAAGGACTGCCCACAACTAAGTGGTTAAAAAAAGACTTGCAGAATTGGCTGAGTTCAAAAAATATTACGTACCATCCCGGATCTATAAGAAAGGAACTTTATTCGTTGTGTGCCCTTCACAAAGAAAAATTTTAAAAATACGAAATTGATGAAATTGCCAAAAATTGTGGAATGACAGTACTTAGATCCCCACCATATCATTGTGAATTAAACCCGATTGAACTGGTATGGGCACAGATAAAGAGTGAAGTTTCAAGAAAAAATACCACTTTTAAAATTCATGATGTTAAACAGTTGTTTTTGGAGGCCGTAAATAATGTAAAACTTGAAAACTGGGAAAAGGCAGTAAATCACACTATTAAAGAAGAGGAAAAAATGTGGAAGCTGGACAATATTACTGATAAAATGATCGAGCCAGTTATTATAAATCTTGATTCTGAAAGTTCATCTTCTGAATCTGATTTGGATTTGTAACAAGTAGCTGTAAGTTTTATATTAATATTTTTATTCATCTATTTAACATACCTTAGACGGTTTTAAAAACTCTTTTTCTCTTTTGTAATTTTTAAAAATTAAAAAAAAAATGTGAATTTTTTAAAACCCTTTTTAATGTAGGCCAGTCAGTTCTAATATAGTGTGTGATAAAAGAGGTCACTTTTGTTTACATACACATAACACTTTATAACACTGAAATAATTCATTTATTTTTTAAAATTATTCAAAGTAATTTTTCAATTAATCTTGAGCACGCCCATGGAGTGGTCGGACGTACCAGTTAAAATTATGCTAATTACTCTCTCGTTCATAAAAATAAACTATAGATCATACTTCATATTTACTTAGATTATATGTAAAAAGTTTTTTTTATTTTAAAAATTTAACGACTGGCTGTAGATGACGAAAATTGATTGGATTCCCCGTCGCATGCGATGATAAAATTTACTAATAAATTAATCAACACAAAGAGACTATATGTAAAACAGTGGCGCCTTTTGTGGGTAGGCTGGACAGGCCCGGCCTACCCAATAATTTTAAGAGTTTTAGCTTGCCGGACAACGATTTTTATTGTCGTCTTTACGATTTCTGTTTAAGCACCAGACGATCGGGCCTGCGCCAAAAAAATTTTAAACAAACAACACAAATGTGTTGTATGAGAACGCCATAAATAATTCCACATTTTTTGCATGCATTCTTGATGAAACAACCGATATTACTGAAAGGGCACAATGTTCAATAGTATGCAGATTAGTGGATACAAAAGGCGTTGTTCAAGAATATTTCTTAGGTTTTTTTGATCTAGGGGAAGACCGAAGTGCTCCAGCGTTACGTGACTTACTGTTTAGTGTAATTGGTAAATTTGACTGTATAGCTAAATTAATTGCTCAAACCTACGATGGAGCTAGTGTTATGTCAGGATAACTTATGGGACTTCAAAAATTATTACAAGTCTATCAGGACGAATATAACGAATTGCCCAGAATCAAATGCAAAATCAATTAAGCAGGCAGATGGTTTTAAACGCAAGTTGGAGGATTTGGAATTTGTATTTTTATTAAATGTTTTTAATGATATATTTCAACAAACTAAGCTCTTATACAACATCTTGCAGAAGAAAAATAATGTTGTTCAATTGTGTGCCAATTCAGTGTCCAGAAGTGTTGCAATGTTAAAGAGCTGGAGAAATGACCTTACATTTTCTAACCATTTCAACATTGCTGTTAACGAAACCAATTATAAACGCATCTTAAGTCGTAGTGAACTTAATATTTTACCTGGAAGTTCATCTAATAACGGAGATGAGAAAGTTTTTTGGAGAAAGTTGCAACTAAACTTAGAAGGATCTTTTTTGAGATTTTGGACCATATTATTACTCAACTAGAGCAACGTTTCTCGGATTACAAAGAGTTTCAATAACTGGAATTGGGCGATAATAAAAGATTCACAGAATATGGCGCTAAATTTACGATGTAATTTTAAGAATATTTACCTATGTTAACGTTTACGTAAATGAGTACTCACCTCATTTCCTTCATGATTCTCTTGTCGTTAATATATAACGGATTTGTACAAGTAAAGTTCTCATAATATTTGTAAGGAATGAAGGAACCATTGCAAACGTTTGGAGCACACACTGTTATAAAATGAGGTCTCAGTCTGCCCACTGTGTACTTCAAGACGTCAGTAGTTAGCTGCGAACAAGCTGCCCCGAAAGCGAAGATACCGAAGGTGCAGTAGAAGTTGTAAAACCAGTTAGGAATTTGATATCCGAGGAACACTATATTTCGTGGGACGTTTGGTCTATTTAGGTATTCTGTCACTGACATCTGAAAAGAAAACCAAAATTAGTATAATATACAAAAATATTTAAATTAAGTAGTTATTTAATAAAGGGTATAAAGATTAATAATGTTAAAATCCGTCGATATAATTATATCTCTTCAAAAAGGGAGAATAAATCGGACCCGGAAAATTACAGAGGAAATAATTTATTAAACACAACATTAAAATGAACAACCAAAAGTACTAACAAATAAATTGCATGAAATTATAACACCAGCAGAAGAACAACAAGTTTTTAGGCCGGGAAGATCATACACCGATACTATTTTATAATAAGGTAAGTTCAAAAGAAATCATTAGAATACAATAAATTGGCATATCTATGTTTTGTGGACCGTAAGAAGGCATTTGATCGAGTCAAATTAAAGGACGTTATTCACTTATTGTACGCAAGGGATCTCTAGGAATAATCCAAACGATCGAAAATATTTACACCAAAACAACACAATAAAAGTAAAAGAAGAAGAACTAACTGAGCCTATTGATCCTGGCAATGGAATATGACGGAGAGATTCCCTGAGTCCTCTATTGTTTAACCTGATTATGGATGAAATAATAAAAAAATAAGAACTAAAAAAGGATACCAAATGGGAGAAAAACAACTTAAAATGATCTGCTATGCAGACGACGCAATACTACTCTCTCAAAGTGAAGATGATTTACAACGTATGATGCACCAATTTAATATAGCGCCAGAAAATTTAACATGCTAATTTCCCCAAAACAGACAAAATGCATGGCTATAAGAGCAAATTTACTAAGATGTAAATTTGAGCTAGAAGGTCAGCTAATAGAACAAGGGATGCAGTTTAAATTTAAGTAGAGCTATGGAAAACTCAAAACAATAGTGGAAGATCAAGTGAATAAAGCAAACAGTGCCGCAGGTTGCCTAAATGAAACAATATAAAGAAATAAAAATATCGGAAAAGAAATAAAAGCAGAATTTACAAAAATCCAGACCAATATTGACATACGCGGCAGAAACACGACCTGACACAGAGAGGACAAAAAGGATGTTAGTAACAGCAGAGATGAAAACACAGAAAAATTGATGGCAAGACTATGGGACAGAGCTAGAAGTACAGATATACGACGTAGATGCAAGTAGAGAACATCAAGAACTGGGTAAGAAATAGAAGAGTAGAATGGAACGATCATATAAGCCGAATGACAACAAATAGAGTAGTAAAGACGGCAAGAGACTGTTCTCTAATAGGAAGACGATCAGTATGAAGACCACGTAAGCGATGAAACGACAACTTACTGGAGGCACACTGAAAAACAGACAGTCATGTCTACATAAAAGAAGAAGAGAATCCATCGAGGAGCAAAGTGTGGATCTGATCATCATTTACTTATTTACACTATTTTAGACAAAATTAAATCGAACGTTCAATGATACTGCAAGACATTTCAATAAAGTATATTACAATCTACAATGTTTTGAAAATGAGTTACCCAGTTTCTGTATCGAATATGGTTTAAAATTACACAATGTTTGTTACTCTTCACCAAGTAACACGCACTACAAAGAAATCATGAAAACTCTTGACGAAGCTGTAATGGAAGCTATTGGAGAAGTGGATAATATAAAGATTAGAATTACGATTTTTATTGAGAATAAGCCACAATTTAAGTATAATATAATTTTATTTTTTACGTTTCGATTTCAACTTCGGAATCACATACTATGATTTTTCTGTCGGATAATCTCAAGTTAATCTTACAATAAAGTCGTCCCAGGAACGCAACTCACTATATTGGCATCATCTTTTTTTTAGATTTTCGAAGTGAAAATTGAAACGTGGAACTTGAAAGTAAACTTATTTGAAACTTTAATTGTGGATTATTCCCATTAAAATAGTAATTGCTTTAAGATGCCACAAGAAAATAGCTTCAGAACAATATATCTTTGTGTAGTCTTACGGTCATGGTTACATTATTGTATATATTAGCGATCAGTTAAGAGTATCGATATTCTATGCGAATTTCGGGTAACGCTCTCATTACGCTGTTAATTTCTATCGTATCGAATGCTTTGCGAAAGTCTACGAAAGCTAGGACCAATAGCGTGTATTCGTTGGATGTTTCTATAATCTATTTTATGCAGTGGAGAAGGTCGTTATTCTTCTTCTTTAAGTTCCTTCTTCTATAGAAAGTTGGAAATCATCATGGCTATACGGACTCTGTTGACTGTCGCTCTAAAAAGTTCTGCACTACTCCATTTAAACCATTCCCTTAAGGTCTTAAGCCAGCATATTCTTCGTCTTCCCACATTTCGTTTTTCTCAGATTTTGCCTTACATAATAAGTTGTAATAATGCGTATTTTTGCTCTCTCATCACATGTCCTAAGTACTCAAGTTTTCGTCTTTTAATAGTTAAGAAGCTCGTTGGTGCCAAACTTTTTCCTAAAATCTGCCCGTTCCCTAGGTTTCCTGTATAGAAATCTTCTACTACCCTTAGTAATTCATCTCTGTTAGTGAAGACATTTCCATCTTTATCTTTTAATTTCATTATTTCTTAAAAAAAATTACGCATTATAAATAATATACAAATATAATATCATACAAGAAAACGACCCACAGAATTAATTATTTTAAATACCTGTTGTTTAAAACCCATAATGATCATTTGATCATATCACAAAATTACCAGAACTCTGTCAAAGTAATGATCACTCCTTGGGTAGCTAAAATGTCAAAAAATATTATCAAGCAAAGGAAAGAGTTATCCTGTCTGTAAAATGCTGATTACGCTCAAATTACAATATTGTTTAATGGGGAAAACTGCTACTACTCCCTATATTACACCAAACATAAAAAAATTAAATTGGGTGGTGACTTGGTTGATCATTTGAGGAGCTTGAACTAAGTTTAATGGGAAACTTTGAACTAACCAACAAAGATTCTGAAAAGCATCTGTACCCCAGAGGTAAAGGACACAAGGTCCATTTTCTTGCTTTTTCAGGAGAGCAGTATTACCACTTTCTAAATTTGTAATCAGTAAATATCAAATGTTTCTTATATTTAACCAAGATTAATATATTATTATTGTTGTATGTATAATCGTTTTTCCTTTCATGAAGTGTTATATACCTGAAGTTTACCGTTCATTACAATTTTTTTAATATGTAGTTGGACATAGTGTTGTTTACCTCTATAAACTTTTTTTAAATAATGTGACATTGCATGTTAAGGTCCCTACGAAATAAACAAGAGAAACATATTAACAACCTATACTATTATTTTATTAGAGACAAATATTATATTATAATAATTAAGTAAAGTTATAGACAAGTCTCAAAATTATTAAAGAGGTTCCATATCATCTTCATCTTGATTTAAGGGAATTAATGAGACTTGATTTGAGGGCTAGAAACGTTACTTACTTTCCAATGTGTTCTTGTTGGACTTGTAGGAAAACACATGTTGACAGTAGAACAGGCTCTTTTTTAACATTCTATTTTCTACTTACAAAAAGAAGGATTAGGTGAGAGTTTCTTATCGAAAAGCGTTTTTTGAAATCTGCAAGTTGCAGATTGTGTACTGTTTATTTACGTGATATTTGCCTAACTAGCTGTTTCCAGTCCCATGGTGTCAAAATTTCCAAATTGGAGCGTTTTTTTCTTTTTTTTTTTAATCAAAGCATGAACACTGTCTGTTTCCAAATGTGTGTGCTCTTACAGTAAAAACTTTTTAGTGATCGTCTTTATTTGAAGGTACGTACGCAGTATCCAAAAAAAGAACATTATAATACTTATATTTTTATTTTGTCCATAGCAGTTATCGGTCGAAAGAGTGATGTCCTTTACTTGACTACCTGGAATTATATTGTCAGCCAATCTCAAAATTGACGAGGTAATTTCATTTACACCACGGGCCCCTTTCGATTCGTTCCACATCATACTTTGTACAGAAGAATCACTGGCATCATACAATGTAAAATTTACTGTCCAAAGTTTCCTTTTGTATAAACTAATACAATTGTTTGTGGTTAAAACAAACAATGTTGCAAATCACCAGATAGTACTTTGTGTTTTGGTGACTCTTTAGCCATTATAAAGTCCAATTGTTTTAAGTTATACCAAGTTTGAGATTAATTTAGGTGAGCATCATGATCAGCCTGTATACTGGTTAGTTCATTTGAAGAAAGATTATTTTTCAATTGAGTGGTGAATGTTCTGCATATATTATAAGTGTCTATTTCGGGTGGTTTAAACGACAGCTTGAAGTCTTTATTAAAAATATGTGCGTAAAACCACTTTTTTCCTCATAGCTGTGAATCCACATGTCTTTCATTGGATTCGTCAATGTACAGTTAATACATCTTGTCTATTGTAAGTTCTGTGCCACATAATTTCTCTTGCTCGTTTCTCTGGAATAATGACTCTCGTACTTTGGAGTAGATTTGGTAGAGTTTGGGTCTCTTTTTCTTAATCGAAGAGGAGTTTGGATGTCGACACATAAGAAGATAAACTGATTTTTAACATTTGAAAAGTTTGTCTTAATCGGTAAATAATTTTTGCCCAATCTATTGTAGTATTTTGTTCCTACGAGTACATACTGGGAATTACTTAGTAAATTCCTGTCTCTGTTTACAACGCAATAACATAAATGGCACTGCATGTTACTTAAATAAGTGACAACAATTATGCCATATTATGGTCATTTAAAAAAGCAGACAAAATTCTTTACTATTATAGTAACAGAAACATTCTAAATTTACTTTTATTTTAAGGGTTGGTACAGAAAATGTATTTACTGTTTGAACTCCTGAGACCTATACAAAAGAATATACAATACTAAACATTTGAGGTTAGCAAAATACTAAATCAGTGTTATTTTTTTTATTGAGTTAATGCCTCGACAACTATGATCATTGGCATGGTACAGTCAGGTACCTAGTGTAGTGTGTGTATGTGTAGAGTAATTGTCTTGATACTTAGCAAAGTCGACGTCATTGTCTTTGCTAAGAGACGCTAATTGTATCCGAACGTCTGCGGTCCCTCCGGTGAGTACCGATCGCATCAGTGTTATTAAACAATAGCTTATCTGTAGTGTTGTTTCATTAGGAATATTAAATGACAGTAATTGTAGTATTATTTTTCTACGACAGTTCGGATTCATTTTGCAATTATTAAATAACGGATGTATTGTACAACTTGTAACAATCTGACACTATTGC